CAACGAGCTCTACAACTTCAATTAGAAGCCCAAAGGTGGTTAACTTAGTACAAAAAAAGTTTTAGAATGATGCAGCCATATTCACAAAACCCTAATTTCTATAAGTAAACCACGTCATGTTATACTATGACCTCTCACTGGCTGACTGGCAAATCACCAATTAAATTATATATTTATTACTTTAATACATTTTTTAAATTGGTTACGATCTTCTGATTCTTGTATCTATTTTTTAATAGTAACCTAATGATGTAAAGATAAAACAAATTCTTCTCTTGTTATTTTTTTAAATTCCAGTTCATAATTAGAGTCTAAAATTTAAAATGCCTACTTTAAACTAAATTAAAATGAAGACAGAATTAATTTTCTCAATAACCTTAATAAATTTAAGATAAATTAGTTTTTTAACTCATCATAAAAGATTTTTCATTAAAGAAATAAATAAAATCTAGTTGTCTAAAATTTTAGATCAAATTATTTTAAATGAAAAAATAAAATAAAAAAAAATAAAAAGTAAAATTAATCCTAGTTATTTAAAGTTTTAGATCAATAAAAAAATAAATAAAAAATTAAAATAAAATAAAGCCCAGTTATCTAAACTTTAGATCAATAAAAAAAATTAAAAATAAAATAAATCTAGTTGTTTAAAACTTTAGATTAATAAAAAAAATTAAAAATAAAATAAAGCCTGGTTGCCCAAAACTTTAGTTTAATAAAAAATTATTTAAAAGTAATAATAAAATAAAGTCTAGTTGCTCAAAACTTTAAATTAATAAAAAACAATATTTTTTTAAAACAAATAAAAATAAAATAAAGACCAGTTTTCTGAAACTTTAAATCAATAAAAAAAAATAATAAAATAAAGCTCAGTTGTTCAAACTTTAGATCAATAAAAAAATTATTTTAAATAAAAAATAAAAAAATAGAAATAAATAAAGTCTAGTTGCCCAAAACTCTCAACTATATAAAACTATTTCATAAAATAAAGATAGTAAATAATAAAAAAATTCTGTTTTTCAAAATCTTTCTTGAATTAAATTATTAGAAATTTAAATAATTGGCTTAAAAATAAATACTTCAAATATTTTAAGCTTTACTTTCTTAAGTTTAAAGTTATTAATTTTATTGTTTGCATCTTTGTAACATTTGTTGACAATTTGTTTTATAAAAACTTGTTTTAATGCCTTTGTAAATTAGCTTAAAGTATTTTCAGATAATATTATAAGATAAACTAGTAGTTTCATAATTATGAATATTATAAAAATTTTAATATTTATATTATTTAACAGTATTTTTTTAAGTGTATTTCTAAAAGAATAAGTAACAAATAAATTTTAAATACAATTAAAGATTTCAATAATTAAAATAATTACCAGTATATTACAGCATTATGAGAAGAAACATTTTTAAATACATTTTGGTCAAACTTTAATTTCTTAACATTGAGCATAGGTTAGATAAACTACTGATTGTGAAGATAATAAATTTTTATGTTTACTTTAGTATTATCCAAAAAATTTACCATAATAAAGATTATTTGCTTACTCTTTTTTGCGATCTTGAATTACCAAATAATCACCAGTAGAAAAGTCAAGATAAAATTATATGAAGATGTAGTTTTGTAATCTGCAAAGGTTTAATGAGTAGAGTTGTAGCACAAAAATACCCCTAGGATAGAGCTATAGATATAGAGGCATAGGGTATGAAGTATTAGTAGGGATGGAAATTATATAGTATAATAAATTTTACTGTATAATTTCTATATAATTACCATATAATCACACAAAGTAAATATATATAGATTTATCATGTGTTCACTTATTTCTATTTTATCTAGATTTTTATTAGCTAACTTTGTTACATTAAAAAATATAAAAAAATGTGCTTGTCATTAGTGGTAACAAACCCCGATCATGTGAATACATATACGAAATTATGTGATAATTCAAGATAGTATATGATTATATATTTTGACCAATCAGCAACATGTGCAATATAATACAGAGATAACCAACGATCTTTTTTTTACAATAGTGATAGAAATAATTGCAAAGACTTTGGCTATGGCAAAAAACCCACAGCAAATAAATCTACAGCAAAGAAACCTAAAATAAGGACCACAGCAGGGACCACGGCAAAGACTATGGCAAAGATCACAGCAAGAATCATGGCAAGGACCATGGCAAAGATCACAAGGACCATGGCAAAGCTATAACAAAAGGCAGCATAATTATAACAATAGTGGCAACCATAATCGTAACAATAATCAACTCATATAGTAATAAGTAACTGTAAGAATAACTACTATAAATACTACCAGCAACAATTATGAGGGTTTAGGTATACTTTTCGTAAACTATTAGCTGACGGGTAAGTAATTGAAAAAACCAAATGTCTTTCTATTGTTTCTTGTTTCTTTTGTAGAAGGTTAGTGTAAATTAATTACTTTACTTATTTTTACAGGCTTAACCACCGCTATAATAACTGTAATAAAATAGCTTGGCTAGTAATAATGAAATAACTTAGTTTAATAACCATAAATTAATGCTTTCAAGCAATAACTATGAGGCACAACTAATAACCCAGCCTAATAATAACAATGAAGTGCAATTGGTAATTCAATCTAGCAATAACAATAAAGCCCAACTATATAATAGCGAAATAACACAGTTCGATAATAATATACAATCAGATAATAGTATTGAAATAATATATTTAGAAGACCAAACTACCATATCTACAAAGTATAGTACTCAAGTTTTATTTGGCTTCAAATAATTAATATGATACTAACTTATCCTATATCTATTTTTGATCTTAACTATAGTAAACAGATCTTGGCACCGCCTTTTGTTGGACAAACATTCAACACTTGGGAGTATGCTGATAAATATCTTAACGATTATGTTTGGCGGGAGAATTTTGTAATTATCAAACTTAGAAATAATCAAGATTTTTCGCCAGAGAAAGTTTGTAGACAACACACTTATGCGTGTGATCATCAAGGCAATTATGTACCTAAAAAATCTGTAATTCTAGAGAACCAATAAAATAGTAAATCAAAACAGTCTGGGTGCTCTTGGCACATTAATATTACCTTTCCAAAGAAAGCTGCAATTGTTAGTATAATATCATTAAGCCTTAAACACAATCACCTGCTTAATTCTATAACTAACTCATATGCTACCAAAAATCAAATACTACCCAAAGCTGTCATACAAGAAATCCACTTTTATATGGCCCAAGGAAATCTTAGTGCAATAATTCAGCACAGATTTCTGTCAGCCAAGTTTCCTGAGATTACGATATATCCACGTGATCTACAAAATTTAATACAAAAATACAAAGTAACTAATTATGAAGAAAATGACATATCAAAACTACTAAGACAGCTACTTACCAAAAAAGCTGAGGAACCAGGATGAAAAATATTTTGGAAACTTCATCATGAAACCAATAGCCTGAACAAATTATTTTGGATATCACCAGAGCAAGTCTGACTATAGATCACTTACTATGATATTATATTAAATGATAATACATATAAAACTAACCAGTTTAATATGCCACTTTTTCTATTCATAGTGGTTGATAATCATTTTTGCATCTGGCTTGTTGCACAAGCTTTGGTAAATGATGAAATCAAAAAAACTTACGAGTGGCTCCTTATCTCCACCTTACAAGCAACAAATCATACACCATGGGTATTTGTTACTGATACTGACTCTGGAATAGATGCCGCTATAGACAGTATCTATTATGATGCATATCCTTTGCATTGTATATATCATATTTCCCAAAATCTTATGTGTAATCTTAAAGCACCTCTTGGTAGTGCCTATAATGATTTTGCAAAAGATTTTTTTTTGTGCCAGAATGATCTTTCTCCTGCTAGATTTGATGCCCAATGGTGTAAGCTTATTGCAGCATATCTTAATGCAGCTCATTACCTCAATTATAAGCTCTATTCTAGTAAAGAAAGATGGGCTAAAGCATATACAACTAAATTTTTCACAGCTGGAATCTTATCAACCTCATGTGTGAAAGTAAAAATTTAGTAATAAAAAGTATTCTTCAAGGTTGCCCAGTTTTTGCGAACTTGCTGCTATACTAGATCTTCGGCTGTGTGATGAGACATGATATGTTAATTATAATGAGTGATACTATGCTAATGCAAGTGTGCAGTTGAGTGGTGCTTCTGCAAAATGTTTTTTTGAAATTGACCGTATTCTCAAAGAATACCTTACTGAAGAAATGCTTTTCTGACAAAGATATGAAATTACACAATTGCTATATTACTACATGGTAATAAAAAGTAATAAATTACCTGCTTCTGAACCTAGTAAGGAAGAATATGATACACAACAAATTCATTTGAATTCTCTTATAGCAGACCTCCCTTCAAATGAAATTATCAAAATATATAGAATTTGACAATGTAATTGCATCTATATTAACTTTGTTATTATTCTTGCTGATTATTCCCACTTATGTATATGCATGTTACTTGTTAATTACGGCTTAGTTTGCTGATATTTTTGGTATATATTTTCTATTGATAGTGTAGCATTCTTTCATATAACACTTATTCCTAAACATTGGTATAAAAATGAAAAAATGCAGGATTTATGCTTAGATGAACAACCCTATATGAAGAATAATGGCATAGCACAATTAAGAGAAGGTTACTTACCTTGCCCAAACTTTTTCCTATGTGCCAGATTACCAAGTTTCATAGTAATAATGTTTTTAGTTCTGAAGTTTGCCGTGCAGTTCAGAAATAACATGATTATAGAGAAACTTTTAATCTTGCTCGGAAGGTGGTTCAGTCTGCAGTCGAGACAGGTGGTAAATTTCTTTGCTATCTTAAAAAAAGTCTGAATGATTAGTTTGCTGAAGAACAAAGATTAACAAATATTAACAATAATAACAAGGAGGATTTTGATCCTAATCAAGTTGAAAATCTAATTGAATGCTGACAGAAAGAAAGACCTTTGGTTAAGCAGCTTAAAAGTAGCTTTGAACAAGTTAAAAGCAAAAAGCCTATTATGCAAAACAAATATGACAAATGTGGGTTAGTTGGGCATTATGCACCAACTTGCAAGAACTAAAAGGAATAGTAGAGGATATAGGTTGAGTGAGAAAAAAATATAATTATAGAAGTAGTCTTAAATGTTTGAGTCCGTATAACTCAATAAATTTGACTATTATTTTGAAGCATTTATTGTTTAGAGTCAAAAAAGCTTCTTTCTTTTTTTTGTTAAGTGAATACACAACTATAATCAACGATAGTAATGTTAGCACAAGAGTGTTTTATTCTTAAATCAGAATTTAATTCTAAATGATATAATACCTTTATTTATGGTAATTATGTGAGTACTTTTCATAGTGAATATATAATTCTAGAAATTCAAATCATATTTCATAGGTCATGACTATTCAACCTAATATCAAAATTCTTATTAATTACAATGAGTAACCGATTTGCATATCTATCTACCTTTTATAGATTAAAAATATCTAGCCTTAATTCGAAAGTGAATGAACCACTAATTCACTTAACTATCCATCTTTAAGAAATCGAGCCAGTCCAAAATGAATACATAATTCTAACTAATTCAAATATATATATATACATACGGTAATGTAAAATATTTTATAATACTTTGCTAACATATTTATTGCAATTAATGACTAAAATAAAGCAC